ATATTATATTATATATATTATTATTGTATATATTTTATTATTATTGTATGTATATATTGTATCATATATATATATATATATATAGTACAATATATATATTATATAATATTATATATATTATTATATAATATATATATTATATATTGTACCATATGTATATATATAGTACACTATATTATTATATATATAATATATATATTATATATTGTATATATATTAGGATGTCCTATAAGTTTCTTTTTTTTTTTGATACGAAATGAATATATTTGTTGTTTCCTTATTCCAAATCACCTGCCCATCCTTATTTCCCTTTTTCCAAAATAGTAGGATAGAGAATAAGAGTAATAATCAACAATAGATATATCATAGTGTACCATAAGTTTCTTTTTTTTTTTGATACGAAATGAATATATTTGTTGTTTCCTTATTCCAAATCATCTGGCCATCCTTATTTCCCTTTTTCCAAAATAATAGGATAGAGAGCAAGAGTAAGAGTCAACAATAGATATATCATAGTGTACCATATGTATATATATTAAGGTGTCCTATAAGTTTCTATTTTTTTTTGATACGAAATGAATACATGATATTTGCTGTTCCCTTATTCCAAATCATCTGGCCTTATTATTCCATTTTTCCAAAATTGTTGAAGTTTATTTGCTCGAGATGCTTTTTCATTTCGCTTACGGATTGGAGAGACGTTTATCATTTGGAGAGAATTTTTTTAATAAGTAAGAGAGTAAGAGTCAACAATAGATATATCATAGTGTACCATAAGTTTCTTTTTTTTTTAATATGAAATGAATATATTTGTTGTTTCCTTATTCCAAATCACCTGGCCATCCTTATTTCCCTTTTTCCAAAATTGTTGAAGTTTATTTGCTCGAAGTGCCTTTTCATTTCGCTTACGGATTGGAGAGACATTTATCGTTTGGAAAGAATTTTTTTTAATAAGAGGAACAAATAATAGTTAAATAGAGAATAAGAGTGGAATACAGAAGATGCGATAGCCTCGTGATGGCCTCGTCGGTTCGCCAATTTTGGCCGTTTTTCTGCTATGCCGTGTTTCAATTTGTCGATCGCAATATTTTCCGAAATTGATGGTTTCCACGTTAAGATTAAACCTTTCCAATCCCACCAAATGGATAAAAGAAGTTTGTGTGGATGAAGTCCAGGCTTCGCGACAGTTGAAAGTCTATTTTCCTTGAATGGAGCGCGTTCTGGATGCACATTTTCGTGCAAAATCCAAGTCTCATCTCATCGAGTGACGAGTGTCATTGAAAAAGAATCTCTTTCGTGTCGCTGGAAAAGGAAATGGCGCGTAGAGACGCGGTTCGCAAAGTCGGTCTCCGTCAACAGCCGCGGAAACCAAACTTCGCGTCCATCGACATATCCCATCTCAGCCATCTGATTATCTACCGTTTTCTTGGAACTGTTGGTGACGTCCACTGTCTCTTGCACACCGCATCGCGGATTTTCAGCGAGCATGGACTTGACAAACTCCGNTGCTGGGCTGAGTCAAAATTGCCACCTCTGAATCCCTTAAACCAATTCCCGTAAACAGTACGAATCTCGTCTGCGGTGTCATTCATCACCTTTTCTAAAGCAATAAAGCATAACGTCGAGAATGCTTCCTTTGGCTGTTCGTCATATCGAACGGTGTAGAATAAAGTTTTAAAAGACACCGTGAAACGTACTTCACTGACTGAAAATGTACTTTAAAAAAGCTCTGGGACGACTGAAACCGACGCCACAAACGGTTAATAGATAAGCATGTTCATATAAAAATAATTAGTTAAAATCATTCCTAGCGTGGTAATAAAGAAACTTATGAGACATCCTATATATATATATATATATATATATGTAACAGAGATCGGTGAAATTTCTTCTTCGATCGAGATGATCGAAATTAGAAGACGAAGAGAAGGAGAAGAAGAGTTACTCACTTGTTTCCAGGCACTCGGGGTATCTCGCAGGACGATCTCGGCCGTTCGATGAATCCGTAATGCAAGTTTCTGTTCTCGCTCCCGGATCCGCTTATGGTGTGTTGATCTACGCGAATGCGAAATATAATAAATATAAAATTAGTAGAAGAGGAAAAAAAAAAAAGAAAAAAAAGATAAACGAACGAGCACTTTTCCACGTTTTCACGGCCGTAATTCTCGCGTAATTACGAAATTACGTTATTTCGAAGAACGCGCGGCGTTGTCGGATGCTATACCATCGCGCAGTATCATCAGCCAAGGCGGAGGTATACGATTTCGTCGGCGGCAACGTAACACCATTGTAACGCTAGTTGCTAATATTACGGGTATAACGTTTCGGTTCCGTTCGTTCCTCGTGTCGCCGGTTCGAAGGAGATCAAGAGGGAACGGTCGAAGCGGAACGCGTGTTACGAACCGGCCCGAATCCGGGAAAGGGCCGATGACTCCTCTCTTTTATTCGGAAAAGAAAAAAAATTCGATTTCGAGAAACAGGATCTCTATTTAATTGTGCGGTGCATACAAACAAAGCGTTAATTTTTGCTGGAAAAGAAAATCGTTGCGTTTGTTCCAATATCGAAATGTGGAAAGGAGAGAGCGGTTTCAAAAGTTTTCGTTTCTACGAAATAAATTTCTAGATACACTTCATTCGTTGTTACAATTTTCTCACGTAATGCGTTCTTATTTCTTATTTGGTTTCAATATAAATTTTGAGATTTTAGTTTCTAGGTAGTAACAACTTATACGATACTTTCTTACTTTTACTATACTTTTTTGTAATTTATGAAATAGAATAGGATTATATTGTCTTATTATGATTTGATTTTAGTAAAGTATATTTTTTTTTTTTTCTTTTAGAGCGATTCTGCGCTGAAAGTATCCCTAGTTAAAGTATCCCTTGATAAAGTGATTTCGAGTTAGCTCGATATCTTATCTTGTCTTGGTAATCATCCCGGAATTCGAGGGGCCTTTCTCCGATCCTCTCCCTCGTCGAAATTCACGAAATTCAGGAGCGGTTTAACGAAGGAAGGAAACCTCGACTCGAGGTTTTTTAATTCCCGAAATAATACACACTTCCCCTCCCTGCACGTGCAAAGCGTTTACGCGAGTTGGATTTTTCCTCGAGCGAGACGGATCGCAGAAACGACTCGAAGACTGACTTAACGCCGCCTCCGAGAGATTACGTTCTAGCCTGTCCAATTTTATTTACACCCTCGTGAGTCGAAGAAGAGGAAAAAAAAAAAAAGAAGAAAATCTCAACTCGAATCTTCCGACCGGACGGTCGAATCGTCTCGGGTGAATCGCGAGCAATTTTCGAGGCGAGAATTGGAGAAAGGGGGCGAGTCGCAGGAAACATCGGATCGAATATCCGACAAATTGACCATTTGTCGCGCGTTGCCACATGACGCGCGCTTCCCCACGAGAGAGAGAGAGAGAGAGAGAGAGAGAGAGAGAGATTCTGCGACACACGGAATTCAATTGCGACCGGTTTTAACAAGCGGCCGCGCGTTTCCTTTTTCCCCTCTTTTTCTCTCTTTTTCCATCGAAAAGTATTCATCTCCTCCCAGGAGAAGAAAACGTATTTCCACGGAGAAGGGGAGGGGTAAAAATCGGGGGACGAGAGGAGATCCATTTAACGACTTAATTAGCGACGACGAGTCTTCGAACGATTTCGAAACATCGCAATCGTAATCGGTAAATAAGAGGAAGCGAGATAAGCATTTCGAGCTTTCAAACTTGAAATGGTAGGGGAAAAGAAAAAAACTTGTTGGAAATGGTTGGGAGGAAGAGAATATTGGAATGATTGCGTACCTCGCCGATGGGGGATGGTGGTGGTCGATTGGCAGGCTTCGTTGGCGCTCTGATGGAGGGCCGAATCCGAATTGGTTCTCCTCCACGTGTCCGGGGGCGGCGGCGAAAGATACGGGACGCCGCTGTACGGCGAGGTGTCGTGCCTCTTCTCCATGGGACGCGACCGCATCGGCCCGACGCCCATGCTCCTTCCCCTCTCGTTGTTGCGGTACGGCGGATCCTGGAAATAAACGCGGTAAAAATCATTTCGACGAAATTTCGAAAACGCACGCCGGCCTTCTTCATTCCACTTCAACCGTTCGAGAGAAACGGTTTATCGATCTTTATTCTCCCCGATCGGACGAGATCTCATTTTATTTTATTATTTTTCCCGTTCCGCGAATCCAACAAAAAAAACGACGATCAACGAAAATGGGAATCTCGATTCCTCCCTGTCGGGAGCCTGGAAGGAAGTCGATTTTCAAGGATGGACGATGGAACCGACAACGAGTTGTTTGCATTCTTTCTCGAAGTTCTCGTTTCGCTTCCTACGTGAAAGATGGAACGAGACACGCGCCGAAATTCCTGCGAAATCGCGGCGATAACGAACTCACCTCCTATCGAGCCTCGAATTGTATACATAGAGGAGAGGAGGGGAGGGGAGGAAAAAATTTCGTGCTCGCCGCGTAAATTAACGAGCACGATCGTCGACAATAATAATAATAATAATAACAATAATAATAACAATAATAATATTAATAATAATGCAAGGACGAACGTGCGAACGTTGAACAACCGGTTGTCAATTTCCCTTGGTAACGTTTCGAAAGTGGCGTAGTGAGTGGAGAAGAGGGGAGGGGTGGCGATCGCGAATTATTCGAAGATAGACGCGACAGGGTCTGCCGACAAGAATCGATGACGATACTATAATTAAAGTATCCTTCGATATTTCGCTGCGAGAGAGTAGAGCGATGCGTTCGTAGCCGCTCGATGTCAAGGCGTCTTCGACGGGAGACGGTACGGCAGATGCGGAAGGAGGGAGGGAGAGCGAGCGAGTGAGCGAGCGAACGAGAGAGAGAGAGAGAGAGAGGTTTATAGCGCGACAAGATAAAAACGAAGCGCGACCGTGAACGTGTACGAGGAATCGCCGCGAGCGTCGCTTCTAAAGCTGTCCGCGGACGCTGAAACATGTTGCGATGCAGACACGATCGAGCGATGGGTTCGAGTCGATCAGAGAGACAGAGCTAACGTAACGCTCCATTCAAACGTATACGTAGCGATTAAACCGAGTAACTCGTTTTAAGATTTCAAATCCATCGCTCGATATCGCAACATCTTTCAACACGCTCGCTTTAATGCTTATATATATATATAACGCGCCGACTCTAGCGATGGGTTTAAATTAACGCCTCGCGCGCAATATTGGAAGAGGTATATTGAAATTTCCTCGCGTGCCAATCACTCGAGCCAATGTCTCCAATGTTGCAAAATATCTCAACGGATCCACGGATCTTAAGGATACAGTTTATAAACGTTGAAAACGCAACGATTTGTGTCGTACGATTTAACGGCGACAGAAACGATAGTTTCAGTTTCGAGAGCGAACGATCGACTCGAACCCATCGCTACCTGCATCGCAACGTGTTCGTAAGCTTCGTAGCTCCGGGCCGTTTTTTTTATTTTCCCCGAGTTGAAAACCTTTCAACTTTGCCCCTCTCCCCCTCCAAAAAAATTCACCTGACCCTAATTTAGAATTTAAATCGGGGGTATATATATTCCCGAGAAACTCGGCTTCGTTATTTGGAACTTTGTACGCGATTGAATAACTGCGAGTCATCGGCCGGCCCGCGTGTGCGTCTTACGCCTTTCGATCGTAAATCTGTTCGTCGTTCACGTTCGCGAGTCGAGTCGAGTCGAGTCGAGTCGTGTCGCGTCGCATCGTGGGACAAGGTCGTTTCCTCTCCACGCTCGATCCCCTCCCTCTCTCTTCCTTTTCCTTCGCCGCGAAAATAAACGAATATCGGCGGAAAACGATCGAAACGATCGTTTCTCTCGGCGTGTATCTTCGTTACGAATGGATAACGTAATATACGCGGTAAATCATTAATTATAACACGAGCGAACGAACGAGGTGCAAGGTTCAAGGAGAGCCGCATTCCCCGAACGACAGAAACGCGAGCCTCCTATTTTACAAACGATGGGGGGATACGCGTGACACACGCGCACGAAAGAGAGAGAATAAAAACGGGAAGGAAGAAGAAAAGAAGCGAGAGAGGGAGAAACGAAGAGAGGGGGGGAGGAAGAAGAGAAGAAAGACCGTGGGGATACCCGTGATTAATTGGTGAAAAAACGTTGTCCAATTTGTCGGGCTCTCCGACTCCGATCAGACGCGCCGCGCCTTTCCAATTTTAGCGTAGCAAGAATTGTATGGCATAACGATATATTTTTAGTCGGTGGTACGTAGCGTACGTATAGATGATACGCGTGCTTTCTCGAGTGTCTTCCGTTGAGGGGAGGGCGTTGCGTCGTTTCAGGGGCCACCGCACGGTGTAAACACGCGCAGCACGGACAGGCGCCAGCCACGCCGAATTTCCACCGACACACGTGCTCGGGACAGTTATGCCTCCCCTCCCCCTCTCTCTCCCCTCTCCGCC